CTAGTAGTAAGGCCAGGAGCCCCTAGTAGCGTCCTTGCTCCTAGTAGTAAGGCCAGGAGTTTGTGATGGTTCATGGTTCCTTATGGATTTCTTGCAGAAGACTCTGTGCGACAACGGCCCCATCACAGGTGGTCGAGCTTTTCCCCGGGCTCTTGCAGACGTTGAGAGAGCCAGCCATGCTGCTCTACGATGCGATGTATTACATGAGTCACCGGGCCGCGTCAGAGAGACAAACAATGTTCGCCACTAGGAGCAAGGACCTTACTAAAAAGTAACAAGAAGCTATTAGAAACAAGAAGAGAGAGCTATCGATCTTGGAATTCTTTGGAAGCGTTTTCCAACCACCGGATGTTGGCGCATTTGCCGATCTTCGGTTGGGAGGCCATCCGCTAGTAGATTGGGAGGCCATCCGCTAGTAGATTGGGAGGCCATCCGCTAGTACGGTTGGATCTCCAAGGTCAACTCATATCCTGGACCTTGGGGCAACTGGTGGGAATCCCTCTCTGCGAAGGACCGACGAGAGGAGAAAAAAGCATGTCAAGCGGCAAATTGCTTGATGCGGTGATGCAAACACGAAAAAGCTGAAAAGATGCTGGGGGAACTGACACTGTAGTAGTCTTGCACCGGAACAAGGAAAGTTGGGGATGGTGAAGCTTCTGAGTTGGATTTATAGTCCGTAAACTCTTTAAGTTGTTCATGTTGCCTCAGTACTTGTTGAAGAGGTGTTGGGGATTCTTGCAAGGAATAAGCAGTTTCTCGGAGCAAACGCGAGAGAGAGGGAGGGGAAGAGCAAGAGGGGGGGAAGAGACTGGAAGCTGTAGATATTCTGATTGTCCTTTTGAGTGTTCAGAGGTTTGGTTGACCTTAGAAGGCAGCTTTTGGAACGCAAACACCCTGCCATACCCCTCAAGGTAGCAAGACACCCTGAACATGTGCCAGGCTGTCAAACTCAAGCTCCGCTGTTTGCTTTGCTTTCAGGATCCTGTGCACTGGCGGGATCAGTGGCCTTGGTGATGATTCTGTACGGTGCCTCACAGTGGCTGAACTACGACCTCTTTGGCCTCTTCGTGGCCTCCCGCCAGGCCGGTTCAGATCCAAGTCGGCCACACGGCGAAATGGTCATAGTAGTTTCTTGTTACTAGTAGTAAGAATGCTACTAGTAGCGATGCCCTTTGTTCCTAGTAGCTTCTTGCTCCTAGTATGGCCAGGAGCCCCTAGTAGCTTCTTGCTCCTAGTAGCGATGCTAGGAGTAATAAGGGGGATGTTGGGATTCAAAAGACCTGTTTGTTGAGTGCCGAAAGCGTGAGCGTCCACAGGTGGTGAAAGCCACACGTCCTGAATGCCAACGGGTCTTGGCACAATCACTGATCATGTTGTGCCTGGGTGCATCCTTCGCAGCGGTGCAGATGACCATGGCACCTTGGAAGAACGGCGAGAGTGGCTTCGGTGTGTGGGTTTGGTTCTTTCGGTGTTGATGTTTCATCATAATGCACTTGTTACTAGTAGCTTATTGTTACTAGTAGCTTATTGTTACTACTAGTAAGGCACTTGTTACTAGAAGCGATACACTTGTTACTAGTAGCTTATTGTTACTAGTAGCTTCTTGTTACTACTAGTAAGGCACTTGTTACTAGAAGTGATGCACTTGTTACTAGTAGCTTATTGTTAGTAGTAGCTTCTTGTTACTACTAGTAAGGCACTTGTTACTAGTAGCTTATTGTTACTAGTAGCTTCTTGTTACTACTAGTAAGGCACTTGTTACTAGAAGCGATGCACTTGTTTCTACTAGCGTTCTTGTTACTAGTAGTAATGCCCTTGGTTACTAGTAGCTCGCTTCTTTTGGACGGGCGCTTTAGGAAGCCTTTTTTGAGTCTTCTGCAAGCGACCGGGCAGCGTGCAGAGTAAACATCCACCCAGCTTGCGATCTCCACCAGGTGTTGTTCACACGGGCACTGGCCTTTGCGAATCCCTTCGTGAGCGCGACTTGGGCCCCTTGGACCTCGAGTGTACTGCAAGCGAGGTCATCGGAAATAACAACTCGTCTTGAATTCGGAAATCACTTGGGGAGGAGGTGACGAAGAAGTTGGAAAGTTGACTTCTAGCATTCTGAAGAAGAAGAAGAAGAAGAAGAATTCCGTCCACATGATTTGCCTATCCCCAATATCTTACTATGATCGTGATCACCCAAGCGTGCCGAGATCTCCGGAATCTAAGCCAGCACACTCACACTCCACTTAGAATCTGAATGAAAGTGACAAGTAGCCATGTTTATGGCAGTGTATGGCAGGGTTGATAGCAGGACCCACTGAACCCAGATACTCAATGCATAGCAGCAGCCTTGCCGATAAGATGATGAGCAGAAACCTCATCCAGCTGCGTTTCTTTGCCACACATGCAATGGCCGAGGTTTGTGCCTATGACGATACTCTCGCGGTCTTTGTGGGTCGGATTTTGCTGACGGGATCCTCCGTGGTGGGCGTGGCCTTCGTGTTTTTGTGCGTGAGGAACTCAGAGAAAGATACCAGCGATGGCCTCCTTGGGGAATTTGAGAGTTCGAAGTTCTGAGGCCATCGCTATTAGTAGTAAGAAGCTACTAGTAGCGATGCACACTAGCAGCTTCTTGCTCCTAGTAGTAAGGCGAGGAGCCCCCAGTAGCGTCCTTGCTCCTAGTAGCGATGCTAGGAGCCCCTAGCAGCGTCCTAGGGTTATTAGGGGGGGGCACCGATTGAGCTTCTTACAGGTTTCTCAATTTGAGAGTTTGGTGAGTTTGGTCAACCCAATGTGCCAACCGCCCGAAGAATGGCCACGACTGGGACATGGCTGAGGTCAATGGCCACTTCGTCGGTCAGGACGGGAATTGGAAAAAAAGAACACCTCAGACCAGCTCAGACCTTCTCACATGCCAAAGAATGTCCATATGCATCCCAATCCGCATCCCAGCCCCAAGACGCTGATGGTCTTTTCTGATGCCTTTTGGACGAAGTTTGGCATGCAGGACGACAATAAGCTACTAGGAACAATTGCATCGCTACTAGTAACAAGTGCCTTACTAGTAGTAACAAGAAGCTATTAGTAATTAGAAGTATGAATTATTAATTATTAGAATTTAACTAATTATTAATTAGAATTACTAGAATTGCTAGAAGCTATTTATCATGGAGAGTTTGGCAGGACTACATCACGGAGCGCGTGGCGCGGTTTCTGGAGATCGATTTGACCGCCTTGGACCCGGACGGCGCCGGCGAGGAGGGCGGCTGGTTCCGGCTGGATGTCTTCGGAGCCGCACTACCCACACTGTGACTCGACAGAACTCGGAGGAAGAGTTGAAGTTGAATGTGGGGTCAGAAGACCAGGTGGCATCACAAGTGGTTTCCCGGAAGGGGGGTGTTTGCAAGCAGTCTTTTACAGCTGGTGTGGTCAAGCTGTGCCAGTCTTGGGTCATGCTTTCGGGGAGTTACGTCGGTCACTTGCTTGACCAGATAGCAAACCATCGCTACTAGGAGCAAAGGGCATCGCTAGTAGGTTGTTGAACTGAGACCCGAAGGCCGAGCGCCCAGTGTGACGGCCACGAACCCTCAGCCGTTGCCGAAGTCACCCACGGTGTGATTCCGATTCCGCCACTTGCGGAAAGAGTTGCACACAGAGTTGCTGTTTTTGGAAGCTCCTAGTAGCGTCCTTTGCTCCTAGTAGTACGGCCAGGAGCCCCTAGAAGCGTCCTTGTTCCTAGTAGCAAGGCCAGGAGCCCCTAGTAGCGTCCTTGCTCCTAGTAGCGATGCCCTTTGCTCCTGGTAGCATCCTCTACCCCTCTTTTAGAATGAGTTTCTTAGAGAGCGGGGAACGTCGTCCGTCTGAGGTTTGGCATTTGGTGGGATCCTTGGAACATCGATGCTTACTTGGTCCGGGAGCGTGCGCACGTCTATTCCATGGAGTTGAGAGACCCTCAGGCCCGACCGGGCTCACCGGTTTTGAGACAAAAACAGAAATGCTCCTAGTAATAAGGATGCTCCTAGTAGCAATGCCAGGAGCCCCTAGTAGCTTCTAGTTACTAGTAGCTTCTTGTTACTACACGTCAAACGATTCCCAAGGAGGTGTTTTCTTTCTTTCGACCATTAAAGCTTCCTTTCTTGTTTGTTTTTCTTTGTTTCTAAGAGCGGTGGCCTCCAACCTAAGGTTGAGTTTCCCTAAAGATCCCAAAATGATTAGTGCGAGCGCTATCCTGCATCCTAGGTGTTAGCTACTTAACCTACTAGCTACCTAGCTACCACCTCCCTCTACAGCCTACCCCCCTCGGGTTTTAAAAATACAGATATAAGATATTAGACCTTTCTTTTCTTTCGACCTTTTTAGACCTTTCTTTTTTTTCGTTTGTTTGATTCAACTCTCACCTCACCAGGCCTGCAAGCGCTGTGAAAAGATCCACGTCCAGTACGAGCTCATGATGACTGCCACGGGGCGAACGGTCTCCGCCGCCGTGCAGATCGTGCCCTACGGCGCCGTCGTGGCCAAGGCACACTCCCCGCTGTTGAGACACAGAACTCGGTTCTTCGCAAGACCTAGCAATAGAACCTACTAAGCGTCCGATCGCTCCTAGTGGCGATGCCAGGAGCCCCTAGTAGCTTCTTGTTCCTAGTAGTAAGGCCAGGAGCCCCTAGTAGCATCCTTGCTCCTAGCAATAGAACCTACTAGCTCCAACCTAGTAGCGATGGCCTCCACCCTAGTAGCGATGCTCATAGAGTTTCATCCAGGTTCGAAAAATACTTAAGGTCTTTGTGCTGAGGTTGATAGAACAATCTTTCAAGGTACTCCAGAAGCACCTCTTCAAAGGCCTGCTTGATGACACCGATTGTTGTGGTACTGTTTCTCTGTCGTATTTGTTCATTGCGCCCATGCATGCAACTTAGCAAGCAGCAGTTTGTGTCCTCCTGGCGGCAGCAGCAGCAGTAGGAGTAGTCCTCGTCGTCGTCGTCGTCGTCGTCGTCGTCGTCGTCGTCGTCGGTCGTC